GAGAGACCTTGTTGGGGGTTGGTGACATCACCTGGGGGGGTCATTCCTTGGATTTGGGATGACCTGGAGGAGGAGAGACCTTGAAGGGATTGGTGACATCACCTGGGGGGTCACCCCTTGGATTTGGGGTGGAAACCTTGCCTGGAGGGTCATTCCTTGGATTTGGGGTGGGAAACCTCGGCCAGGAGGACATTCCTTGGATTTGGGATTGTCTGAAGGAGGAGAGACCTTGTTGGGATTGGTGACATCACCTGGGGGTCATTCCTTGGATTTGGGGTGGGAAACCTTGCCTGGAGGGTCATTCCTTGGATTTGGGGTGATCTGGAGAAGGAGAGACCTTGAAGGGATTAGTGACATCACCTGGGGAGTCACCCCTTGGATTTGGGATGGTCTGAAGGAGGAGAGACCTCGGTGGGGTTGGTGACATCACCTGGGGGGGGTCACCCCTTGGGTTTGGGATGATCTGGAGGAGAAGAAGGAGCAGAGACCTTGGAGGGGGTTGGAAACCTCACCTGGGAGGTCATTCCATGGATTTGGGGTGGGAAACCTCGGCCAGGAGGACATTCCTTGGATTTGGGATTGTCTGAAGGAGGAGAGATCTTGTTGGGGTTGGTGACGTCACCTGGGGGGTCATTCCTTGGATTTGGGATTGTTGGGATTGGTGACATCACCTGGGGGGACATTCCTTGGATTTGGGATTGTCTGAAGGAGGAGAGACCTCGGTGGGGTTGGTGACATCACCTGGGGGGTCACCCCTTGGGTTTGGGAAGATCTGGAGAAGGAGAGATCTTGCTGGGGGTTGGTGACATCACCTGGGGGGTCATTCCTTGGATTTGGGGTGACCTGGAGGAGAAGAAGGAGCAGAGACCTTGGAGGGGGTTGGAAACCTCACCTGGGAGGTCATTCCATGGATTTGGGGTGGGAAACCTCGGCCAGGAGGACATTCCTTGGATTTGGGATTGTCTGAAGGAGGAGAGATCTTGTTGGGGTTGGTGACATCACCTGGGGGTCATTCCTTGGATTTGGGGTGACCTGGAGAAGGAGAGACCTTGTTGGGGATTGGTGACATCACCTGGGGGGTCATTCCTTGGGTTTGGGGTGGGAAGCCTCGCCTGGAGGGTCATTCCTTGGATTTGGGATGATCTGGAGAAGGAGAGACCTCGGTGGGATTGGTGACATCACCTGGGGGGGACATTCCTTGGATTTGGGATTGTCTGAAGGAGAATAGACCTTGTTGGGATTGGTGACGTCACCTGGGGGGTCATTCCTTGGATTTGGGATTGTCTGAAGGAGGAGAGACCTCGGTGGGGTTGGTGACATCACCTGGGGGGGTCACCCCTTGGGTTTGGGATGATCTGGAGAAGGAGAGACCTTGTTGGGGGTTGGTGACATCACCTGGGGGGTCATTCCTTGGATTTGGGATGGTCTGGAGGAGAAGAAGGAGCAGAGACCTTGGAGGGGGTTGGTGACATCACTTGGGGGGGACATTCCTTGGATTTGGGGTGGAAACCTCGCCTGGAGGGTCATTCCTTGGATTTGGGGTGATCTGAAGGAGGAGAGACCTTGTTGGGGGTTGGTGACATCACCTGGGGGAGTCACCCCTTGGATTTGGGGTGGCCTGGAGGAGGAGATTGAGGAGAAGAGACCTCAAAGGGGGTGGGAAAGTTCAACCAGGAGGACATTCCTTGGATTTGGGATGGTCTGAAGGAAGAATAGACCTTGTTGGGATTGGTGACGTCACCTGGGGGGGACATTCCTTGGATTTGGGATGTTCTGGAGGAGAAGAAGGAGCAGAGACCTTGGAGGGGGTTGGAAACCTCACCTGGGAGGTCATTCCATGGATTTGGGGTGGGAAACCTCGGCCAGGAGGACATTCCTTGGATTTGGGATTGTCTGAAGGAGGAGAGATCTTGTTGGGATTGGTGACATCACCTGGGGGGACATTCCTTGGATTTGGGGTGATCTGAAGGAGAATAGACGTTCTTGGGGTTGGTGACATCACCTGGGGGGACATTCCTTGGATTTGGGATGATCTGGAGGAGGAGAGACCTCAGTGGGGTTGGTGACATCACCTGGGGGGACATTCCTTGGATTTGGGGTGGCCTGGAGGAGCAGGAGGGTGACAGGGACACCAGGTGACCCAGGAGGGTGACAGGGACACCCCATGTGGGGTCTGGGGCCTGTCAGGGCTTGGTCACCCCGAGTTGTATCTGCAAGAGGTGACACCTGAGGGTGACAGGGAGAGGTGACAAACTCAATGTCACCAACACCTGGGACACCTCCCTGGGGCTCAGTGACCCCTTTTTGGGATCGGGAGTGTTGAAGTTTTTGGGGCCAAGCACCCCCCAAACCCTCAGTGAGCCCTTTTGGGACGGAGGTGTCGATGTTTTGGGGTCACCCCGAGTTGTATCTACAGGAGGTGACACCTGAGGGTGACAGGGAGAGGTGACAAGCTCAGTGTCCCCAAAGTCTGGGACTCAGTGACCCCTTTTGGGATCGGGGTGTTGAAGTTTTTGGGGCCAAGCACCCCCCAAACCCTCAGTGAGCCCTTTTTGGGACGGGGGTGTCGATGTTTTGGGGTCACCCCGAGTTGTATCTACAGGAGGTGACACCTGAGGGTGACAGGGAGAGGTGACAAGTTCAGAGTGTGGGACCAACCACCCCCAGACCCTTTTTGGGGGTCAGGATTCGGGTGTTGAGGTTTTTGGGGTCACCCCGTGCTGGGTTAGGGTTGGTGACCCCAAGTTGTATCTGCAAGAGGTGACACCCGGGGGTGGCAGGTTTGGTGTCACCAACACCTGGGACACCTCCCTGGGGCTCAGTGACCCCTTTTTGGGGTCAGGATGGTGAGTTTTTGGGACCAAGCACCCCCCAAACCCTCAGTGAGCCCTTTTTTGGGACGGGGGTGTCGATGTTTTGGGGTTGTATCTACAAGAGGTGCCACCTGAGGGTGACAACCCC